CCAAAAAAATTTAAAAATCGTACATGAAATAGATCCAAATTTCACAATAATCCGATTTCATAATCAGCCGTGACAAATATTAATAAAAAAATCTTAATATTAGTATTATAAGGCAAAAATAAATTAGCGACCCGTCGCACTGCGACCCTTATATGATCGGCCAATCATTTTTGAGATTGCCGATCACATATAAACAATTGATAATCGGCTTTTCGCTTTAGGATCAGGTATGTGCTTTTTTGCCGTTTGCTTTTCTTCGCTATTTTGCTTGCTTTCCTTTAACGCTTTGTTTTTTCTTTACCGCCTTGCTTTTCTTCGCTGCTTGGTTTTTTTTTTTTGCCGCTTGGTTTTTATTCTTACCTTTTTTTTCTTTTTGTTTTTTTTTTGTTTCGCATTTTTTTTTTTTTCTTCCCTGCTTTCTATTCTTACTTTTCCCGCTTTTTTTCTTTTCCCTCTTTTTTTTTCTTTTCCGCTTCTTTTCGTTTCCACTTTTCTTTTCGCTTTCTTTTTTTTCTTTTTCCCCGCTTCTTCCCACATTCCACTCTTTCTTCTCTCCCCTTTTCTTTTCCGCTTCTTTTCGTTTCCACTTTTCTTTTCGCTTTCTTTTTTTTTTTTACCTGCTTCTTTCCGCATTCCATTCTTTCTTCTTTACTTTTTTTTTCCTTTCTTTTTTCTTTCTTCTTTTTCGTTTCTTTTTTTTTCTTTTTTCTTCACTTTTCCTTTTTTATTTTCCGCATTTTTTTTTTTCTTCACTTTTGTTTTCTTTTCGCTTTTTTTTCTCCTTTTTTTTCCGCTTGTTTTCTTCACGTATTCTACTCTTTTTCTTCCTTACCTTTTTTTTTTCTTTTCCCCCTTTCTTTTTTTCTTTTCCACTTCTTTTTCGTTTCCACTTTTCTTTTCGCTTTCTTTTTTTTCTTTTCCCCACTTCTTCCCGCATTCCATTCTTTCTTCTCTACTTTTTTTCCTTTTTTTCCTTTTCTTCTTTTTCTTCTTTTCTTCTTTCGCTTCTTTTTTTCATTCTTTTTCCTTTTCTTCCTTTCTTTTCTTCCTTTTCTTCCTTTTCCTTTCTACTTTTTCGGTTCTTTTTTTTTTTCTTTTCCTTCACTTTTCCTTTTTTTCTTTTCCGCTTTTTTTTCACTTTTGTTTCTTTTCCTTTTTTTTTCCCGCTTGTTTTCTTTCTTCACGTATTCTACTCTTTTTTTCTTCCTTACCTTTTTCTTTTTCTTTCCCCCTTTTCTTTTTTTCTTTTTTTGTTTGCTATGCAACGACGTTCGTTGCATAATAATTATGTTTTTTTTTTTTAATAAAAGATACTTAAATTATTAAATCGTACGCGATCCACGTGATCGATTTTGATTGGTCGATCACGGGGTCGCCCTAAAACAACGCCCTTATAATAATAATTGTATGGTAATACAATTATTATAAAACGTACCTATGGTGGTTTTGCACCTATTATATGTTTTTATTATGTTTTTTAAAATTTTCTAAGTTTTTATAAGTTTTGTAT